GAAAAAAAAAAAAAAAAACCTCTCAAAAAAAAAAATGATTAAAATGGTAAATTTGGGGGACCAGCAGATACTGTAATGGTTACATCACTAGACTCCCACATAGTTGACTGCAGTTTGAGTTCCAGAGTTGGTGGCTTAAAAAACTCAGCCATGGGGGACCAGCAGTGGCATGGTGGTTTAAGTGCTGGACAGTCCCATGTAGTCAACCACAGTTTGAGTCCTGGACCTGGTGGCTTGCTTTCTCTTTCTCTTTTTCTCTCTCTCTGTGTCTCTTTCTGGTCAAATTAAAATGAATGAACGAATATATACAATTAAATAAGTAATTCTTTAAAAAAAAATTCACGCCAGATGCATGTGCGTGCATTCCCAAGATCTCAAGAGGGAGGGTCGTGTGTGTGTGATTCCCTGCTTTTTGTCTCTCTGGTGAGCACACATGCCCTATAGCAAAAATATTACTTAAAGAAACTTTTTAAAAAGAAGTAAATTTTGTTACGTATACACTACCCCAAATTTTAAAAAAAGCATCAGAACTTGACTAACCAAAATAAATAGATAAATAATGTGAAACCTATTCTTTTATGGGCAACATGGACAGGAAGGCAGGCTGGATTTGGTCTGTGGGCTGTATTTTACCAACCCCTGGCCTAAAATTAGGAGAGTAAAGGAAATGTGCCTCAGGCAGGGTCAGTAGCCTGATGGTTAAGACAGTGGATCCCACACCATCCACTGCAGTTTTGAACCCTTGACGTAGTAGCTTGAGAAACATGCGCGGTCTGTGTGCATGTGCGCCCCAAATCCCAAACAAATGGAGGAGTGAGATTGCAGCATCTCCCACCTTGGGAGATGCTTTCTCCTCTCCCTCTCTCTCTCTAGAGATATATGTATCCTCTAGTCAAAAATAAATAAATAAAATTAAAAAAAAAAAAAAGGAGTGTGCCTTAAATCTAGGGATTTCTCATGCTTGCTTACCTCTCAGAGTGTTTTTACCCTTTTCCTAAAGATTAGTAAGCTTTTTTCATTATCATTGGATTAATCTTACCAATTCTTCTCACTTCTTCCAGTGACGTCTTCCATCTCAGTGTTTGACCTCCAGGATGGTGGACGGAAAGTATGTCCACGCTGTAATGCTCAATTTCGTGTAACGGAAGCTTTGAGAGGTCACATGTGTGTAAGTAATACCACCTGCAATAGGGATCTTGCTTAAGTGGTTGCTGCTGTACATTTGCTGTAATGTCGGGAGCGTGGGAAGCAGGATTCTGAAATTATTTAGCAGCTTTTTAAAGAATTTCTCCCTTTTGGTCTGATTTTGGAAAGTTATATACTTTGGAACATGATGGCATACATTTAAAGATCCTCAAATAGTTCACAACATACATGAGCTTGCCCAGCTGTGGTGGTATATGTTGGTAGATGCTGCAGCATGGCAGGTTGTTGTTATAGGGGAGGCCCAGGTTTGATTCCTGGCCCCCTTAAAGCTGGTCATGACACTGCACACCTGCAGTCCCACCTCCTCAGAAGGCTGAAGAGGGAGGACTGCAGCCTAATGAGACCCCTGACTTAAAAAAGAGGAAGAACATGTGATAACCTTATTTCCTTAATAGCATAGTAGATTTTGTTTCTTGTTTTTCGTTTTCTGGGTTTTTTTTAAACCCTGTGTGGAGGGCTGACTCTCAATGGATCACAGTGAGGGAGCTCCTCTGCTACTTAGAAAACCTTGACTGGGACTGTCAGATGGCATGGTGATTAAGGTGTTGGATTCCCACATGACTGACCATGGTTCGAGTCCCGGACCTGGTGACTTGCTCTCTCACTTTCCCCTTCTCTCACTCTCCTTGGTAAAATTAAAAAATAAATGATATTAACAAATAAAATTAAATAAATGATTTTTAAAAAAGAAAGAAAACCCTGACCCAGAAAACTGCTAGACCATTGGCTGTGAATGGTTTAGCCCCAGGTTTCCCCATGATCCTGTGTTCTGTGGCTGCTCCCTTCCTGGCTAAGTCCCGGTTCCCAGGATGAAGGGCCCTCCACACCAGACTCCGGTCCTGATTCATGGTGGGGCGTGCCTGAGGGCCCACCCACCTGAAACCAACCGAGTCTCCGCAGCACTGTCCTGTTCTGCCTGTGCAGGATTCTGACTTACAGGCATTCAGACATAATCCCCCAGTGGTAGCTTTGCCCCATTGACTCCTCAGCCAAGCATGAAAGGCACAGGAGGATAGGTTTATTAGATAATAAGAACTCAGATGTGGGCCAGCACATGGCGTGGTTAAGGCTCTGGCCTCTCACGTGACCAACCATGGATCGAGTCCCAGACCCAGAAGCTTGAAAATCACACCCGGCACATGTGTATACGTGCCCAAAATCCTGAGAGTAGAATGGGGGAGAAGGGAATTTAGTGTGGCCATCTCCCCCTGGGGAGTGATTTTCTTACTTTCCCTTTCTGTGTGTCTCTGTCTCTGCCAAGTGCATGCACCCTGTAGCAAAAATGAAAGGGAAAAAAAAAGAACTCAGACTACAGGGGCCTTAGTTTATTTTGTTTCATGTAATTGTATTAATCACAAGCTGTTACCTGGTTCTCATTTCCTGACTTTCATTTTTTACTTTTAGTCGAGATGCAAAAGTTGCTACCTATTTTTAATAATAAGCTAGAGCCAAATTATGCTGGTGAGCGGGTAAGAGATCTTAGGCAGGAAGGAACAGTAAAAGGTCTGATGCTTGAGGCGGCATATATCTGTGGGTATACACTAGAAAAAGAGTGAAGCTTAGAAACACTGTAGGAAACGAAGAATGAAAACTGAGTGAAAGTACCAGAACCAAACGGTTATCAAGGAAGTTAGTGAAGTTAAGGAACGGCACATCCTAGCCCCAGGATAACCAAGGTGATCAGATGTCTTCTTTCTTACAGTATTGTTGCCCAGAAATGGTTGAATACCAGAAGAAAGGAAAGTCCCTGGATTCAGAGCCCAGTGTCCCATCAGCTGCAAAGCCCCCATCCCCTGAGAAGACAACTCCTATTGCTTCTACACCCTCTTCCACACCTATCCCTGCTCTGTCTCCTCCTACCAAAGTACCAGAGCCAAATGAGAACATGGGTGATGCCGTCCAGACCAAGCTCATTATGCTAGTTGATGACTTTTACTATGGACGGGATGGTGGCAAGGTGGCCCAGCTCACAAACTTCCCGAAGGTCGCCACATCTTTTCGATGCCCGCATTGTACCAAAAGGCTAAAAAACAACATTCGGTAAGCCTTGGAGAGCCTTGGAAGTTAACCTTGGACAAGAGAAGACTTAAATTTTCTCTTTGGAGAATGTTCCTAATTGTTATTCAGTCTTACAGGGGGGGTTATCATTAAATCAGTTAACTAGAACAGGTTGAGCATCCCTAATCTGAAAGTCCAAAATCTGAAATGCTCCAAAACCTTCTTAGTGCCAACATGATCCCACAAGTGGAAAATTCCATACCTAAACTCATATGACAGGTCGTAGTCAAAACATTACAACACAAAATAGTGTGTAAGATACCCTCAGGCTGTGTACATATGATGAATGTGAACCGGAAATGGATTTCATGTTTAGACTTGAGTCCCCAAGTAATTTCCCCAAGATAATTTCATTATGTATGTGTAAATATTCCAAAATCCCCAACAATCTGAAATCTTAAAACTCTTTTGGTCCCAAGCATTTCAGATAAGAGATGTTTGCTCTGTGCTTCTGCCATCATATTTCTCAAAGGCTACTGATTCTTTACATGGTTTCTGTACTTTCTCTTTGTGCTGTTCTCCAGATTCATGAACCATATGAAACACCATGTAGAGCTTGATCAGCAGAATGGCGAGGTGGATGGTCACACTATCTGCCAACACTGTTACCGCCAGTTTTCCACTCCCTTCCAGCTCCAGTGCCACTTGGAAAATGTTCATAGTCCCTATGAGTCTACTAGTAAGTTTGGACACTCTTAAACTCTAGGGGAATATACCTTGCTCTTCATTTGTTGAATGGTGCCAGGGGGAGTCCATTATATTTATTTTTTTGCAGGTAACAGTGTAGAGAAAGTATTTTGCATATTTATAGCCAGTTTCTTACTTCATTTACCCTATTTTCTTACAAGCCTTACTTTTCAGTTCAAGTTGAGCTCAGTGCTAGATTCTGAATTATTAGGGAACTTTGGTTGAAGATGACCATAGAGACACACACATACGAATTTATTACTGAGATCCTTTTAGAGGAGGAGCAGTCATCTACAGTTGGATCTTCACCTTAGTTGATACCCTGACAGAGTATTTAATAGGGCAAAAGATAATATAAAGTCCTTTACTGTTGGAACCACAGATGGCATAATGGATATGTTGCTGGACTCCCATGTAGTTGACCATGGTTCTAGTTCCAGACCCGGTGGCTTAAACTCACACCGGGCACGTGTGCGTGCGTTCCCAAGATCCCGAGAGGAGAATGGAGGAGAAGGGATTGCGGTGTGGCCATCCCCCCTGGGGGATGATTTCTCGCTTTCTGTCTCTCTATCACTCTCTGTCTTTCTGGCGAGCGCATGCGCCCTGTACCAAAAACTCCTCCCTTACAAAACACCGTTAATACAGTGTTTTCAGTAAAATAACATGGTCAGTTGGAGCATTATCTTTACTGTATGTTTTACCACTGAAGGAACACAGGCTGAATACAGAGAAACTAAGCCATTTGCTTAAGAGCATATACCTCTAATAAGGAATGAGAGGATTTCAGCCCAATCTTTAGAATTTTCCTAATGTCCTTTGAGATTTCCAGTTTTGTTGAAAAGACAAAAATATGCAAATATAGGAAAATGTGAGAATCAGATTATTTGTTAACATATACATTATGATACCAGTGATAAATGAAATAGTTCAGAGAAGGGAAAAAGTCCTTGTGGCCAGGTCTCACAGAAAGTGGTACTTGAACTTTTTTTTTTTTTTTTTTAATTATTTTGTTTATTTATTTACTTAGTTATTTTAATTTGACCAGAGAGAAACAGAGCAAGTGAATGAGAGAGAGAGAGAGAGAAAGCCGCCAGGTCTAGGACCCGAACTGCAGTCAGCCATGTGGGAGTCCAGCGCCCTTACCACCACACTACCTGCCAGCCCGGTGCTTGAACTTTGAGGGTTTTTAAGTATAAGAAAGATTTAGATGGATGAAATTTAGTAAGAAAGGCTTTTAGATGATTGGCAACAGCATGATCAAAGGTATAAAAACAAAAATATGCATATTATTTGGACGCATTTTCTGCATATTAAAAAACCTTGAGTAAAAATGAATTAAACAGTAAGGATTTACATTATATCATTTAACAGAGGGACCTAGCTGGGAGTAAGAGTAGGTGTTAAGCCCAGAGCTTGACTTCCTTGATCTGTTTCTCAACAACTTTCTTGTCTCTGGCTCAGAGTGGCCCCAAGTTGGATTAATTTTAGTAGTGTATTTTGTTTAACTCAGTATAACTAAAATATAATAATTTCAAAATGGGGGCCAGCAGGTGGCATAGTGGTTAAGGCACTGGACTCTCCCACATGGGCTACGCAGTTCCTGTCTTGGACCTGGTTGTCTGTGAGTGCGTGCCCAAGATCCCAAGAAGAGAGTGGAGTAGAGAGTATTGTGGCGTCTGATTTCTCACTTTCTCCATCTCTCTCGATCTCTTTGGTGAGTACACTCGCCCTACAGCAAAACTCTCTCCAAGGGTCCCGCAGGTGGCATGGTAGTTAAGGGCGTTGGACTCCCACATGGCTAACTGTGGTTCGAGTCCCAGCTGGGCAGCTTACTTTACTTTCCCTCCCTCTCTCTCTCACTCTGTCCCTCTCTGGTCAAATTTAAAAAGCAAAGTTAAATAATTCCTTTTAAAAAAAAAATCTCCAAAAACAATAAAAATAATTTCAAAATGTAAATGACAATTAAAAACGAATGAGGTATTTAACATTTTCTTCCTATTAAAATTAGATTTTTTTTTTTTTTTTTGGGGAGGTTTCGTCTTAAGGCCGGCGGCGCCCCC